CTGACGAGAGAGACCGTCAGCATGAAAGATTGATGCTGACTTCCTTTCTTCTATCCTTAACTGGCTGTTTGTTTCTCTTCTGTAAAGTGGACACTTGATATAGCCAAAGGAGGACGAAAATTTATTTGATCAGCTCGAACTCTACCAGTGTAAGTAGCGAAGTATATGCAATTCTTTTAGATTTAACTCACAACACATTGTCTTCATGACTTAAGGACAATGGTCTATCGTAATGTCCACTGCTCAACTACATCAGCCAAGCTATCTTCGTCTCCAACATTGCCTGGAAAAATGATCAATGGTAGGTCAGTCCATTTGACCTTCCGTCCTCCTTGATCTTGACTCTTGAAATCTTCCTCCTTCTGGCACCACCAAACGGGAACCCCAGGCGCCGCCTGGCCTAGTACTCTTGCACGTTTTATGGCTATACCAGCTGTCGCTGCATCAGATGATGTCACGCCTCCCTTCGCTAGCAGGTAACGAGGGCAAACGCTCAAGTGGCGGACAATGTGTACCAAGGCATTCGCGGCCAAGTTGTTGATGTCCATGTTCGTTATTTTTTCTGAAGCTTGCGATCCCCAAGAATTGACAGAATCCAGTGTCACAAGATCTCGGCTGGTCATAACCAGCACATCCTTGCCATCTTGGAGGTCTCCAGACGCACATGCAACAATGTCTTGCAACACGGGTGAATGACGAAGCATTGTGGGGATGTCGGGATATTCCTGGAGCTCGATCAATAGGGCTGGCACTTCCACAGTGAGAGTTGTTAAATTGCCCCCTGATCTCTGGATCAATGATTGAACTTGCTTGGTGGACTTGGGAACATAGGAGCCCGCTATAATTAGTCCTCCGGTACGTCTCACAGGTTTGAACGTTGGGATCTGTCTCGGTAAAAGGACGGGTTTTTCTGGGATCGCGAGGCGACTAGATACAAAGCTCGCCCCAGTTCGATAGGCAAAACGGAGTTTGTGCTTTCTGCGGACTGTAACCAAGAAGTAAGTTTGAAAGAACTATATGCCGTAAATGAACCAGAAACAGGGATGCTTACCTTCCAATAACGCCAGGCTGAACATAAGCATATCCTCGGTTTGGACTGCGTTAACGATCAGGATTCCACCTTTAGGCACTAGAAGCAACTTTTGTTCGATTGCGGAAATTCCTCCGAGTCTGATGTCCTCCAATGTGACAGACACTATGTCTTTGCTGGAAAATCGTGATCCTGCTTTTTCACGAACCCACTCTCTGAGATTTGAGGATCTGTATCCAAAGGTTCTATCCTTGGCGAATGGAGTCTTTGCGGCTGGGACCAGGGTATCTCGGTCACCCACATATTGTATGTCGTCGATAGTATAGCGAACACCTGGTCCAAAAAATGGTGCGAGAATCCATGCATCGGGAGAGCCAATCGTATCAATAAGCGATTCGACTTCTTCCAGGAAATGGCCACGCAATGTAGAGTCTCCCCGAAGGACGACTTCGAACTTTTTACCAGTCATATCAGCCGCCCGGGAAACGTTTCGCAGTATTTCACTGACTAGTGTGCGAGCTTCGTTGGGAGGCAATGCGCGACTATTGGTCAAAATGAAAAAGCCTCCACTCTCTGACCGGAACTCTGAGGCCAGAAGATCAACATCCCACATGGTGAGGACATTAATATCGTGGCACGTCTGCGTTCCTGTTGGGTCATCGTCAAGAACAACGAGCTTGAAGTCCTGCTCAGCCCGTAAATGGTCTTGAATACTGCATAGGAGGTTTTCAACATTGTGCTCAAGTTTAGGCAGTTTGGAGAACAATTCCGAGAGAGGAACTGGGTCATATTCGGTAATATGCAAGGGTTCGACAGAAAGATTTGATGTTGTCCATAATTTGAAGAGCGCTGCTTGACCTTCCCCGCCCAGGCCATAGGTCACAGCCTGTTGTAATAGCTGGAATGTAGTAGCTGTGAGTTGAAGAGGATAATTATGTGTTTGGGCGAGGGTCATCACTTCTTTCTGTCGATTTGGTCAGTTACGTCGATCGAAGCTTTGAATAGGAAAGACCTACCAGCTTGTTCCGTGTCTGTGTGATGGTGTTTCCAGATAATAGGTCGCCAGCCAAAATCTTTGAGGCAACATTTTTGAAGGATTCACTAGCACCAGCGGCATTTGAAATAATTGATGTAAGGGTGTTGGTCGAAATGCCGAGTTTCTTTCCGAGGGCCAGAGCTTCAACCGCTGCTAAGGTGTGGACAGTCTCCAGTAACTGGCATATCAATTCAGATGCGCGCGCAGTATCAGGACTCTGGTAATGTGTTGCTTCCGAAACCAGAGATGGAGTTTCTGCTAGAAAAATTCGAACAAGACTCGCATCGTCGTCTTTTTCATATCCCATCCGCGCGGCATATTGATAAAGTCGTTCTGTCGCAGACGCTATATAAAGAGGGAAATCCTGAAGGAGACCTTCCGAGGTCACGATTCGCTGATGTAGGTGTCAGTGGAAGAGACTTAATGCTTCCCTAAGGGTTACTAGGGGTAGAAAGCTTACCATATCCTTAACAAAAATACTGATAGCGGAGTGAGGTGTCCAGTCGTTGGAGAGCATATGAGTTACTCGATTCTCAAACATCCAACTACACGCTGGGCCTTTTAGAACAGTCTCATATAACTCCTTTGTGTTCACTCCCAAGGTTGCAGCTAGCCCCATTGCCTCTGCAGAGACAGCAATATGAATACCGGCAAGGTGCTGGTTGACAAGTTTGACCTTGTTCGCGGCGCCTAGTCCTCCATCAATCTCGTATAGATTCTCGCTCATTGACTTTAAGATTGGCTGAGCGGTATTCAAAACATCCGTCGGGCCCGATGATAGAATGGTCAGCGTTCCTCGAGCGGCACGTATGGTTCCACCGGACACAGGACAATCCAACAACTGTATGTCTGCTCTTTGGAAAACTTGGTGGATGCGGTCCAAAATTCCCACCGGAAACCCTGGAGCAACAGTTGAGCACAATATGACAATCGCGTTCTGTGTCAAGCCAAACACTGCGCCCGTTGTATCGGCGAAAAATGCATCGTCGGTCTGCGCAGAATTCGCAACCATGCAGATAACAACGGACGCCCCTTGAACGCATTCCCTTGGACTAGAAGCGGCTGCACCGCCCATGGCGAGCAGTTTCTCTAGGGCCATGGGATTGACATCGAATCCGGTCACAGCGAAACCGTCGTCGAGCAAGTGTAGGGCCATTCCCATTCCCATGGCACCCAACCCGATGAAGGCAACCCTTTGCTTAGAAGCCATTCTCGTCAAAAGTTTGGCTTGTATATTTCAAGTGTATTGAAGTCGAATTGGAGGAGGTAGATATAACAGTCAGGGCATGCGAAATCCACTGTTCTATTTAGACCTGACGAAGTGACGAGACGTGGCCCCGATCTTTTTCGTTCAACAAGTTTGTCGGGAAATTAGTGGTTTGCCGTACTAAATATCCCATTTTCGCAACCATATCCAAGTCACTAGATCTAATTGCGTACGGTAGAGGCCCCCAGCAAGGGTGTTGACGGGGGAAAGTGAGCTCCACCACTCCACCACTCCACCGTTTCCCGGTCACTCCACCACTCTCTCCCGCCACCGTCCATGTCCCTCACTTTACTACCAGTTCTCATCGACCCGGCATAGACTTGCGCACCGTAGGGAAACAAAATGTGATTTTATTGAAACAACGAGAGAATGATGGCGAAAAAGTACTGGATTTGACTCTGTTGTCTCGCAATTAGCGTATCTCGACGCACCAGAGGCACAAATGTTGTATTCTCTCGATGAGCGCAAGTCTGGTGAATACATTTCAAGTACAGGTTTAGCGCCTTCCAAGGTTGATTCAGTGAGCTCTTCTCAGTGGCGTCCTTTCCTTGATAAATCGTTTTAATTCACTTACAGCGCAGGGCTACACATCAAAATCTGACACAGCCACGGGCTGGCGATTTGCATAGACAATCTATCGAAAACAGAAATAAAATACAAGTCTGGAAAACCTTCTTTGCACAACTCACTGATGACCCAAGCTGCAATAACGAACTTACTTGAACCCGGGATAGCCTTGATCCGCCGCAGGGTTTCACTATCTCCTTCATGCCATTGCCGGAATACAGCCGATGACGAGAGCCATTTGCAGATTCCTGCCAGGTATGAGCCGCGGTGCTTGCGTGTGTTCGGTTTTCCTCTTGGCCGTAAGGAGTCGATTGAAGCCATTCCTGATCTTGATGAGGTCCTCGCCTGGCAAAGGGAGATAGAACCACGTCAATATGCCGAAGTAGAGGTTAGCAGTAGATACTATCGCTAAGTTAAAGGAGTTTTATTCGCATTGAAGACCTCTTGCATGGTTTTCGTTGCTGGAGGTTATGAAGACCCAATTATTGCTCCATTCAAGTGGTACAATTAAAAAGCAAACAAAATGCTCGACCCTAACGCTACGCAGTCGCGGCCCTCGGATGAGCTCGAAATGGAGATTCGAGAGGCCTAGGTGCAGGTCGCAAAGCTGAGACGGCAGTGGCGGCAGAAGAAATATGGTATGTAGAGCTACCTAAGTAGTTGCTCGGATGGATCTCTTTACTGACACCGGGTTATTCCCCCAAAATCTTTGAGTAGGACGCCTTGTGTTGCAAGGGGGCGAGTTTTAAACTGTTCACTAACACCGCTGTTATGTCTATGTTCTTTTGTTCTTTTGTTCTTCGGAATTTTCGATCGTATTATTGTCTTATTGTTACGGCAACTAAAAAAAGGAAAATGTACCTAGTGAATGAGAACGATGAAGAGAGAGGTAAGAAGTATACAACAATGCTATAACCCCTGTAACAGCTAGTCGAGGGGTTCGATACTTAGCAATGTAGTACAACCCCCTCGCATATCTCCATCCAATGGTTGGCTGCGTTGCCCCCATCACGCGCTATCAACGGAAATAGCGTCTTAGCCTTAAATTCTAATTAGATCGTTCTTTATAACTCTAGGAGCTCATATCAACGAGAAACAACATGGCGAAGAATCAAGAGCCTTGTAGTTCAACTCAGCCGTTCATCACTGATGTTTCTGACGAAGATGGACCCAAATCCAGCCCCCTGATTAACGAGTCAAATATCTTGCAAGGGCGCCAGATCGGCGTCTTTGGTGCTATTTCGCTGATTGTCAACAAAATTGTCGGAGCCGGGTATGTCCCATTTGTGTCCTCTTTGGTTGGTTTTTAGAGATACTGACTCCAATGAGAATATTTTCCACTCCTTCTTCTATCTTCAGACTGAGTGGCAGTCCCGGGATGTCCCTCATCCTTTGGGTGATCGCAGGTGCAATATCAACATGCGGGGCAATGGTCATGCTAGAATTCGGCACTATTATCCCTAGATCGGGAGGCATGAAAGTTTACCTTGAACGATCCTTCTCGCCAAAGCTATTGATCACATGCATCTACCTATTTTACTGCGTCTTCCTACGTGAGTACTATTTTCCACGCATTGGTCTATAGCTCTAACAAAACGCAGAGGTATCGTCAGGTAACGCCATAACTTGCGCATCCTATCTTCTCAAAGCTGCTGGCGTTGAGTCAACAACATGGAAGCTTCGAGGCTTAGCAGTTGCCGCTGTTTCCTTTGCAGTGTGTATTCATATCGTTGCCCCACGTGTTGGTCGAGGCTTGCAAGATATAATGAGTGCAATGAAGCTATTTATCCTTCTTTTCATTGTTTGCACTGGTTTTGCCGCACTCGGGGGCCATCTTAACGTCCCAAATCCGCATAATTTTGATTTATCTACATCTTTCCAGGGAACGTCAAAGAACGGTTATAACGTTGGCACGGCATTGCTGGATGCCATCTTTTCGTTTCAGGGATACGATAATATGAACATGGCAAGTACCCTTGCATTACAAGGACGATCGGGTTTTGCTGACCAAGGATATAGGTTCTTTCCGAGGTCAAAAACCCACAAAGGACTCTTCGGATTGCGCTACCTACAGCTATGGGTAGCATTACAGTTCTCTATGTTCTAGCAAACATCGCTTATGTAGGTGGTCTTTTTGCGGTTCTTTTCCATATCTAACTTGCCTTTCAGTTCGCCGGTGTATCAAGAGAGGAGTTTAGAGATTCCGATCTCACCATTGCCGCATCTCTCTTCAACAACGTCTTCGGCGAGTCGGCTGGCGCAAAAGCTCTTCCGGCGATGGTTGCAATATCCGCCATAGGTCACCTTCTAGGAGTCGCTTTCACTGTTCGTAAGTATTACCAGGACAAAATATGATACTGCGAAGCATTTACTCATCTTTAACCATAGCACGAGTGATCCAAGAACTAGCGAAAGATGGCATTATGCCATTCCCAGATATCATCATGCAAAATCGACCTTTCCGAACACCTGTCTGGTGTCTATTAATCCATCTGGCCATGACAACTCTCTTCATCTGTGCCCCTCCCGCAGGTGACGCATTTGAATTTGTTGTCAGTCTCAATTCATATCCGACAGTGTTACTTCTCACCGCTGTCACTATCGGATTGATTAAATTGCGGGTGTCAAAAGAGGAGGATTCGCAGTCTGCTTTTACCGTTCCGTGGGCTGTTATTGCTTTCTATCTAGCTGGAAATATTGTGAGTATCTTTCTCCGTTAACAAAGCTATAATTTCTACTAACTAAATTTTTAGTTTCTTCTTGTCATGCCTTTTGTCCCACCACCAAATGGCAAAGGAAATACCAGCCTTCCCTATTGGCTATCTCCGGTTGTTGCCCTGGCCATTCTCGCGCTAGGCATAATCTACTATGTTGGTCGTTTTGTTTTGCTACCGTGGATCTTCGGATATCAACTTGGCTTCGTTACTGTCGATCTCAGTGATGGATCTCAAGTATCAAGGTATCAGATAATGAGGACCTGGGTGGCTTGCCCGGTCATGAATTAAGCAATTCCATATCTACAACTAGGGTTGTAAGACTTTTCCCGCCTCCGCCTTTGTATGATCTATATGATAAACCCGAGGCACTCGAAAATGCGCAAGAGGTGGAAAAAGAGAGGTCAAAATAAGGCGAAAACAGTGCATGAAATGGTACACTCGCTTCGAGGCTTTCGTAGAGAAACTGCCCAATACTTCATGGCATTGTGTACACATTTATCCTGAACGGTATGATATTTCCGAGAAGCACGGCTAGCGCACTTTCATTAAAGACTAAATGCCGTACATAGCAACAAATCCGGTATCGTTATAACATTTTCGAAACAAACAACCCACCAATAAAGTGGTATTAGACACAATTACTTAGAGCCGACATTCTCAACAGTAACGGCACCAGGCTTTTCGCTTCCCTCGTGAGTCATCTGAACTCCTTTCTGGTGGGCCAGCACCTCCTCTCCTTGAGCAACGTGATTAGCGCCGCCGAACAGGGTATCGATCTCCTCAAGAGAGACCTGTTTGGTCTCTGGGATGAAGAAGAAGACGAATGCGGCAAGTAGGAAGTTGATTCCAGCGAACATATAGAAGGCGAAGAAACCTTCGTTGTCGAGGAAGATGGGGAAGAATTGCTGGACGATGGCATTGGCGACGTTCTGGGTCTGCGAGGCCATTCCCACGGCTTGGGCGCGGACGTTCATTGAGAAAATCTCGGATGTCCAGATCCACACTGTTGCGCCCCAAGACGGCTTGTCTGTTAGGTTGTGTTAGTTGTGTTTCTTTTTTTGAAGATGATGAGATGAAGAGTGGTAGGGTCAACTCACAGAAGAAGATAAACAGGAATAGTAGGAACACAATAGATATACCGACAGGCTCTGATTTCGCTCCGTTGGCAAGAGAAGGGGTTTCGGTTTCGACGGCGGAGACAACAATCATGCAGAGACCCATGCCGATACCACCGACAATCAGAAGGAACTTTCGGCCAAATCGATCGACAATCCATACAGCGTTCAGGGTGAAGATAATTCCAAAAGTGGCGTTCAATGCGTTGATGAGAGCAATCTGGCTGCTGCTAGTGAACACCTTCTGGTAGATCTTGGTGGAATACGAGTTGAGCGAGCCTTGTCCGGTAATTTGCTGGCCGGCGTTAAGGATCAGTGCCAGACCCATACGCTTGCGAAGTGACTTGTCCTTCCAGAGAGCGGAGTAGTTGCCAGAGATAGCTTCCTTCTCGTATTCGATGGCCTCACGGATCTCCAAGAGTTCTTGCTCTACTTCTTCCTCAGTATCACGGACTTTGGAAAGAGCGGCGCGGGCCTGATCGATTTTGTTTCCTCTTTGGATATACCTGTGAATGGTCAGTATTAGATATTACTGACAGAAAGTATGCATTCACACTCACCAACGGGGACTACCAGGGATAGTGGGAAGGAGTATAAGAATCAGCACTGGAACCAGAAGCTGGAAAATGACGACCATCTTCCAGTCCCACTCGCCCAGACTGGCAGTATGCTTGGTGCAGCCGAAGTTGATCCAGAAGCAGATGAATGATCCGACAGAGTAGAACATCTGCCAGAAGGTCATGATCTTACCACGGATCTCGGGCGGTGCCAATTCACCGATATAGATAGGACCGGCGGCTATAAAGACTCGCAGTTAGCTCGTGGACAGTGAATCAAACACAGAAGTAACACTTACTCAGCGCGATACCCTGCCCAATACCAATGATACATCTACCTGCCAAAAAAAGGGCAATGTTGTGTCGAGGCGTAAACGTCTGCATGAATGTGGCAATAATAACCAGCACACAACCAATACCCATTCCAATCTTGCGGCCCAAGAAGTCGGCACAGGGACCACCAAGGAAGAAACCTCCAAAGATGGCGCCGACCGTGTACGCCGTATTAATGGAGCCAATTGTGTTTGCGTTTGGTTTGTTCATCCATGCTACCCAGTTCTTGGACCCTTGGACGGAATTGAAAACAGATGCATCGTAACCGTAAAGCACCATGCATGATGCGGCAACGAGAGAGATGTACCTGCAGCCTGTGTCAGATTTTGACTCATGGATTAAAGCACATTATACTAACCAATTGAAGGCTCTTTTTCTGCTCATTAAAACACCCATCCTGGCGGTTGTGAGTAGGACACTGAAGGAACGGGGCTGATTAAAGAATAGGGTTGAGGTATGTAGTCGATACCCTATGGATAGCACCACACTCCGGCCTTATATGGCAAACAGTGACCCTCGAGTGAAGGGAGAAAGTAGCCAACAAACAATATGAAACTCTAGGGGCGCAGGAGCGGGCCCAGATATATAAGTAATGCTTAGTGCCTTCCGGGGGGCAAAGCCATACCCAGCCCATGTGAGACCTAAAAGCCATGGCATAATCGGACCATCCCCAGAAATCACAACCCCGGACACGCTAAGAGCAATTTGGCATTTTGATAATGGGGTAGCTATTCTCCAGGATCGCTGAGTGGTGGGGTATCTGAAGTCGAACCGCACATGGCAGGGTGTATCTCAGCCCTGGTTCAATTTCGATTGGCTTGAAGCTCCCTAGATTGACTGGTGCGGACCTGGGGTAATGCTGATCTGGGGTTCGAGGATATTTTTCGTGGTTGTTCCGGTGAGATGAATAGTTCGGATTTCCACGAATCGGCGGTCTGGAGAAGGGAGGCTTGGGAGAAAATCGACTCCACCAATAGGGTAAATGGTCAACAAAGCAAGGATAAAAGAACCTGGAAGAATCAAAAGCCAATGCCAAAAACAGGTAAGAGATTATAAGCGAAGCTTGGCTCCAGGACCCATTTGACTCGTTCCCGCGATGAGTTTGAGTTAGGGCTGATTCGCAGTTCTATGTGGTCATGCGATCACCACTTATCCAATGTTTTCCAATTGAGCACGAAATAAGTACGATTAGGATAGACTTGAGGTTTTAAAAGAATGTATACTAATATCGCCCATTCACATTTTCCTGGGAGAATTGTACGCCATCCAAATGGCCAACTCCAACCCTTTTCTAGTCCTTTTTTTGGCCGTTTTTGAGCGGGGTTCCGACAGTCTAATACTAACCTTCCCGGTGCCTAATAAATATACCCACTCCTTCTGTGCCTAGTTAGGATGTATCAGTAAGTTAGTATTAAGAGCTACAACATAGCGAACATAGAGGTAGCTAGAAAGTCAGCTACGTAGCCGTAACTGATTCTATAAACCGAGAATGAAGAGCCATGTTTCGCATGACTTGGATGGATTATGTTTAGAATTTCTATCACGAAACATGCGCTCAAAATGAACTCATATTGCGGTTTCCGATCTATAGCCCTAGAGGTTGGGGACCTATGTAGGCCAAATAGGGCAGATAGATATATAAATGTACTTATATATCCGGCGAGGGCTCTCTATGATTTGTGTACGTCCGCTAATCATATTGCCTGTCTTTGTGGGTAAATTGTAGTGGAAGAGGGCGGTCGGTCCCTAAATGGTTGGACAGCTAGTCGGAAAGAGCGTAAATAATGCATAAAACGGTATACTAGCTTCGATGCTCGTGGATGCCTGCAGGATGTAAGAGACTGTCCGATAATAAAACTGTTTCTTCGTACATGTATATCCGCGTTCTTAAGCTGGGAATACCCGTGATATTTCCCAACTGTACTTCTAATATGGTCAAATGTATGTTGCGCGTTTTTGTATGTGAACTAACCGCAAAAGTCTCCAAGGTTACTTTCTCTCTCAGTAAATGTTAAGATATATATCGCATTTTTTTCGCTGGAAGTATGCGCAAAAGTTTACCAAAGATGCTTCAAATTGACTCATTAGAAAATGTTCAGATGTACATCGCGTGTCTTCTTGCGGGAACTGACCGCAACATTTTCCTAGCAGTACACAATCAATTTCACTCCATAGATTCCGGAAGCCTATGGTAAGTTCCTATAGAAGAACTGACGCGCCCAATAATTGCGACTAGTTGCTGCTTTCTATAATGTTCCCCGTATACTAGAATATTGATCACGTGCTCTCGTGACGCCGTAACGCGCCAGACAAAGTCCCCGCAGTGGCAGCGTTATACCGTACCTCTTTGAACATGGCTGTCGCTTTTTGATATTGCTACATATAAAAGCAACTGGACTGCTCCCGGTCCTCTTCGATCCCGCAAACGCCGAAAACGCCGAAATACGATGGCACCGCGCAAAACGACCAAAAAGCAGACGCGATTGGCCTTTGCTTCGGCCGCGGCACTTTCTGGTGCAGCGAGTCCGGAGCAAAGCAGCCGATATTCCACCCTCCAATACGGCAAACCAAGCTCAGGGACATATCGCGCAAAACCCCACACGATCGAATCCAGCGCAACAGGGACCAAGTCCAACCAGCGAGCAAAGCCCAAGAAACAATCCCGACTTCCCGCCCAAGCTACACAGGCTGCTCCGAAGTTCAGCGGAACAATCAAGAGTGAGCATTTTGTCTATGTCTACAACAGGGCCTGCTTTCAATATTAACCAGATGAATTGCCTATACAGACGAACCAGAACCATCCCTCGATGACGAAATTCCCGTCTCTCAGCGAAAGCGAGGTGCTCGATCGGACGTGCAAGTGGTATTAGACAACGCTCCGTCAAAATTCAACAAGTCCGAGAGTTCGAAGAAATCAGGGCGAGGACTGCAATCTTCGCACAAAGACAGTGCAAACACAGGCATTTCGGAGGAGCTGTCTAGCTCGCGCCAGAAACTGAAGCGCAAGGCCACAAGCTCACCTACCGTGCTAAGCGACTCGGACGAACCAATCATCCCATCGTCTGTCCGGAAGCGCAAGCCTGACCAGGAGGAAAGCACACCGGTTAAACCATGTCAGGAAGAAGATGATGATTCCGACGTACCGATTCGGTCTTCGGCGGTGAAGAGACTCAGACGTGGCCAGGAGCAAAGAATACCGATTGAAACCAGCGGAGAAGAGGATCATGACTCTGATGAACCGATTCGGTCTTCGCCCGTGAAGAGGCTCAGGCGTGCACAAGATATACACACTCCTCAAACCCCAAGAACTGCGCGCAATATTTCGGACCAGGCCAAACTTGATATCGCGGAGGATCTTGAGGACCTCCAAGACTCAGGTATGAGTTGACCGGTGTACGAATATGCTTGAATTATGCTAACGCGAATCATGTATAGCTGTTCGAAAGAGCCGCACACGTGGTCATGTTGCCGAATCTGCCCGAGACAAGAGATTGAAACATCTCGAAACCCTCCGGCGCAGACGAGCCGGTCTGAAAGAAGAGGAAAGCGAGGAGGAATCTGAGGAAGTGTCCGATTCAGACGTACAAGAGGTCGACCAAAATGGCAATCAAATCAGCCCGTCCACTCGCAAAATCAGCTGGCAGCAACATGATGTGGACAGCGACGTGGAATCTGCCATTGCCGCCAACGAAGACCTGGACCGTTACGAAGACGACTTTGTCCTCGAAGACGAGCAGAACGACCTCGGCGTTCCAACCGAGGGCATTCCGCTTGAATTCACCCGACACGCATACAAACAGCCAAAGGACTACTTCCGCGATGTGGTCTACTGGATGGTCCAGAACAAACTCAACCCGGCCTTCCCCCGCTCAGACCCGATGTTCAAGATGGCATTCATGAAACTCGAAGACGAAGTCAAGGGTCGATCTGGCTCCCAGCTCATTTCCTCGGTCTGGAGTCCTCAGTTCATCTATGCCATTCAAGCTCGTCCGTCTATGGATATCACTTCCTATCCCACGGAAGAGGACCATCCATGCGATGCTTGTAGACGTTCTGGTCACCCTGCATCCGCTGATCTAACGCTATACGGCAAAGCCTATTCCCTGGAGACACTGGAGCCGCTGAACGACGACGACAGTGACGAGCAGTCCAAGGAGGATGATGATAACGAGAATGATGGCAACGACCGAGACAGAGATGGTCATATAATTCCACCCGAGGGTACCCATTTCTACCTAGGAAGGTAAGTATCCTCAGCATCGAACAACAATCTTGACACGTCCTGATCCCACTAACCATTTCGATAGAACATGCAAGGGCAGAGCTGAACTTGCACACACCCTCACGCACTGGCGCTACCACCTCAACGAATGGGTTATCGATTATCTCGATGGCATGGGCCATATGGCAGACGACGAGATTCTCAAGCGGAATGATATGAGCGCTAAAAAGAAGACTCGTAATGCCAATGATGTCCTTGATGAGATGGTTGCGGGTGGTATAGTCGATGGGCTTTGGCGCGATTTCCATATCAGTCTCCGGTCTGCGCGCGAAAAAGAGGTGTGTCTTTAATCCGTGGCATTTGAGGCCTGTTTGCTGATCTGGTTTCTAGTCTATTTATGCTTGAGATGGTTCTTATCACATCTGGTTTCACGGTTTCACGGTTTTCATGGTTTTCATGGTTAGAAGAATGTGCATGCTGTTCTACGCTACACATCTTCGAATGGCATTCATATGCCGACATGGATGCGGCCCCTGACTGATTTGTTGGTTGCGCCGCTTCCCTTTGCAAGATTTGGGAGACCAAATCTTTATTTCTTTTGTTCAGCCCCTTTCCTAATGATACCCCCCTTTTCCCTTCCCTTTTCTGTTCATTTTCAGCGTCGGACTTGCTCTAGGTTAGCTTAGAGCTAGCAAGCACATGGTCCCTCGGTTAGCGGTTTCCCTTTGTTTCTACTGCATTGGTAGCTAGCTACCTGGAGCATTGTCCTTTGGCCCAGAGCCATGGATAGTATTCTGGTCTAATTAGTTATCTACATATCAAGGGTCTTCTGCAAATCATTACATATCTAAGAGGAGTTAAGATAACTGCCATGACAAAAACCCCTTCATTTTTCATTACTTAGACATGCAGACGAACAGTAGAGAAGGAAAAAATTGTGTATAGAGAAACAAGAAGGAAGATGTCTGGGGTTGTACAAATACATGCATGCATAAGCTGCCGGAGCCAAAATGTCAAAAGGCATGAGAGATGCGGAGATAGAAAAGAGTCAAAAAACAAAAGGCATGACACACACAAGGTCCGAACAAAGCGAGCCGCGACAAGAAGAGAGCTGGAAGGGCGATGCTCTTGATCGCCCTTCCCGGATCCCTTTGGTTGAGATTTGGCCAGAATGGGATGTGCTCTCGCTGCGTATATACGAGGTTTCCCTGTCGTCCCTGAAAACTGCTTGGCTGTGCTGTTTCCAGACTGTCAACTTTTGACGTTGGAGCTCGGGTCGCAAGGTCTGTTGCCAGTTCCTTTGTTTTCCGTGTTATTAATTTACAGAGTGGGTTGAGCCTGCTTCTCGAGCTCGGCGCCAGGGGTGAGCATCTATTTCATTTTCAGTTAGCAAACCGTTTCATGATCAAAGCCGCAGGAACTTGAGATGAAAATGATTTTCTTCCCATAGTAAAATACTCGAGGCGATTGCACGTGTCATTTGCGCAGATGACACGAATCGAAATCCGAGGCCATCCCGCCAATTCCAGACAACCACCGAAAAATCATAACAAGAAAGACAGAAGAGGACAGATGTGTAAACATACCTCGTTAGCACCCTTGATCATACCCTGCTCACGCTCCATCTGGATGTACTGCTCCTCCTCAGCGTAAGCGAGCGCGAAAGGAACACCGAGCAAGAAAGCGCTGGTGCTGATAACCCAGAGAGCCTTCCCGCTGAAAGACAGGCTAGACTTGGTGAGAGATGTGATGGAGGAAACGGAGTCGGTGATGGTGCGGCGGGCGGAGGGGGGGATGATGTCTTTCAAGGCGGCGACACGCTCGTACAGAGACTCGGCATCGAGCTCGATGTCCTCATCGTTGGAGATCTCGGAGTCTGTGGATCATCGAGGGTCTTGTCAGATAGGTGTTCATTCGCGGGTAGATGTGTTCATTTCCCCAGTTTGGGTCTCGTGTTTGGGAGGGTTTGAAATGGGGGCATTGGGATTGGCAATGGTAATGATGATCGAGAGGGATAAGAACGGAAAAGTCTTCCAGCAGGGATGCAATTGGACATTGTGCAGATGACAATGGCCCGATGCGAGTTTCCGGGGTAGAGGGTATGGGCGTGAATCCGGGATACTAACCAGTGTCTGAGTAGTCCTCGTCATCGTCGGAGACCAGGAGAGCATCGTCCTTTGTGGTGGAGGGCTTCTCGGAGAAGTGCTCATCTTCGACCTCGGTGAGCTTGACCATTTTGGGCGGTGTTGGATAGGGATAACGGAGGGGATCAAGTTGAAGGTGATGGTTGATGATGGAAAGTCTCTCTGCGAATCGTTCCGACTTTTTTGCCGAAAAGCGGCGAGGAGCTTGGACCCACATATAACGATGTCATGTTCGCGTTTCTATGTATTGCATGGACTGTTTCGTGTATTTTCTGTTTATATTTATAAAAAGAGGGGTGTATTCTACAGTGTCGATATTCTGGTCATGCTCTATAATTACATATCATCCTCTAGATGCGACTTCCTACATGACCCATTATATCCGACTACAATCTGGCCTCGAGGCATAGTTGAACCAAATTACCTCCGGCCAAGCTGCCACCGGGAAATCCGCTCCTGGATCTCTTCCCAGGGGAAAGGACGCAGCTTGTAGCCCTCCAGTTCACCTTCCTGCAGTACAACAGTAGGCTGGCCAGTACCCTTGCCATTGTTGTGAACCTGGCCACCAAAGACCTGGCGAGCCACACGGCGGAGATCCTCAACGGTGAGAGCCTCAATCTGCTCGCACATCTCCCGAACGCCGACCTTGCGGCCGTGGACCTGCACCTGGCGTCCAAGGTCCTCCAGCTCGACCATACGAGACTCGAGGTTCATCAGCAGCGACGAGCGGAGCTGGTTCTTCGCGCGGTTGACTTCCTGCGCCTGAAGAGCGGTATATCCAGTGTCCAGAGTCAAGGACTGAAGCTCACGGCACATGACCTCGAGCATCTGGTTTGTGCGGGTGGGACTGCACGAGGCAGAGATTCCGAATATTCCGCTGTCGGTGTAGCTGTGGTTGAAAGCAATGCAGCTCTCGACCCAACCGTGCTGGTTCAGCACGTTGGTGTAAAGTCGCGAGTACATGCCCTTCCCGGGTCCACCAGCGGAGAAAGAGCCACCACCACCGAGGAGGGTCTGGAGGGTAGCGAGGGCATAGATATCAGGCGAGGAGATGGGGAGGGCCTCGAACGCAAGGTGGATGTGACTCAACCGAGGAAGCATGGGGCTCGCTGGTGGGGGAATCGGAGGGAGAGCGATAAAGCCACCAGTATAGTGAGCAGGTTGTCTAAGGTTGAGAGCGGAGGGCTCAACCAGGGACGAGTGAAGAGGCTCGACTGTAGCATGGTTCTTGGAGGAGGAAAGGTGCTTGAGGAAAGGAAGCTTGGACAAAAGCGAGGATTGCGTCGTTTCGGAAGCAGCCGGGCTGCTGATAGTCGATGTGGGTGTGAACTGAGGAACGGTTGGAACCTGGCCCTCCTGGGCAGCCGCTTGGGAGTTGGACAGCGAAGTTTCGATTCCGGAGCCAGAGAGCACGGGGCCCTTGGACTTGCTGGTGTCATTTGCCTTCATGTCTCCAAAGTATTGCTCGGTTAGCTTCACGGCCTCGGCGTGGGGAACTCCGGCAAAAGCGATGACCATGCGGTCCGGGTTGAAGAACACTTCCCGGTAACGCTCCACCACTGCCTTGTTAATCTCGCCTAGTCGTTCCTCGGGACATAGGAGAGGGTTTCCGAGGGTGTTGTTGCTGAAAGCGGTCATGTGCACCAGCTCCGGGAGGATAAGTTCAGGCTTCGCCCAAATCTCGCCAATCTCATACTCCGCCACGGCGAGCTGTTGGAGCACTTCCTCATCGGTGATGAGAGGGTCCCGAATAGTCTCTGCTAGCAGACCGAGTGTTGTAGGAACTGCCGAGTTGAAGCTAGCAGACTGGTACATCAGCGACTCGCGGGACGAGGCGCACTGGATGTTGCCGCCCAGGCCCTCAAGAGTCTCCAGCATATCATCTGCGCTACGAGACTTGGTTGATTTGAAGGCTAAGCGATCCATGATGTGGCTAACACCGCGCAGACTGGCATCTTCATAACGGGATCCGGCATCGACGTAGACTCCGACACCCGCGAAGGGACCCGGTAATGATTCCGTGGCAACGCGTACGCCATTGGGGAGAGTGGTGATTTGTTCAAGGTCGGCAGGATCCTGCAGATAAAAGGTTATATTAGTTATTTTGAGCATAGGTGCAATGTGTAGGCGATTAGTTACCCTGGCCGACTCATTGGCAGTAGAGAAGCTTCTTGACACAGAGCGAGGAGCTCGAGTCAGAGGCTTCGCGGACTCAAGGGCCCGCAATGCTGTGCGGCGCATGATGTCTGAGTATTTACAGGTGTGACAGCCCGCAAAATTGAGATGGCTTGGTACACCTGGTAATTCCGGGGGAGGTGATGTAGATTGTCAGCGAAGAATCGTAATGGAGCCTTGATCCGAAAATGCTTAGATAATCGGTTGTATGATCCTCCAACATCGAATCGATTTTCGTGATATTAATAATAAGTTCGATCCAGATAGTTGAGTATATACTATGACCCCGAGGCTCAATTTCATCTCATAATTTTTTACTCAAGACTTCCCTAGTGCAGGTGCAGCTTGCTTATCAATACGTGAGGTCTCGAATTTACACACGGAGCTATGATGACATTTAGTACCATCGATGATAGAACATAACAATCTCGTCAATTTTGGATCTAAACAGACATCTAATAATTAAGGGTACTCCGAAACCCAGTTCCGGTACCAATCTAGACAAGAAGCATTCGCAACGCTCGCCCCAATCTTAATATTGAGTCCGCACAGAATCTGCTTGACAGCATTCTCAACTTTCTTGCCATTGGACGTTACAGGGATCTCAGGACAGGCATCAATAACACCAGGGACATGTCGGGGACTAAGCTCCTTCCGAATAGTAGCCTGAATGCGAGCGGCAAGGTCCGACGGCATGTCAGACTTGCCGGAAGCAAGACGGACAAACAAAACGACTGTCTCATCTGTATCGATGCCCTCTCGACGGCGACCAATGCATAGAGAATCTTCGACCTCGTCGGCGAAATGCTTGAGGAGAATGTTGTAGATCTCAGCACTGCCAAAACGGACACCAGAGGGCTTAAGGACACCGTCACTGCGGCCCAGCATCACCACGCCGCCAGTCTGGGGGTTCAAGCGCACGTAGTCACCGTGGTGCCAGACTTTGGGCCCGAAGACGTCGAAGTAACTCTTCCGGTACTTCTCCAGGCCAGCCGGCCCGGGTGGCCAGAACATGACTGGTTGGGCGGGAAAAGGTGTAACGCAGACAAGATCGCCAGGCTCGCCGGTTTCACTGATATCATTCCCGGCATAGTCGAATACTGAAATATCCATGCCCAAAGAACGGCATTGGATCTCTCCTTTATAGACGGGGAGAATTGGACATCCAGAGCAGAACAGAGAAAGAATATCTGTGCCACCAGTGATGGAGCCGAGCATGATATCGTGATGAATAGAAGAATAGATATACTCGAAAGTCGACGGCGCCAATGGGGAGCCAGTACTGAATATGGCTCTTAATGACTTGAGCGACACTGGCCGATGGGCATGTTTGCGCGGATTCAAAGCAGCCTGCTCAAGCAAGGAGAGGTATTTGGCAGATGTGCCAAAGTGTGTGATCTGAAGCTCCTCAATCAGTCGAGGCATCGCCATTTCTCCTTTGCCACCTTCAATGTCGAATGGCCGGAATGGTGAGCCATCGTAAAGGACGATTGTTGCACCGCTGGCCAATCCGGAAACTAGCCAGTGCCACATCATCCAGGTGGTTGTTGTGAAGTAGAACAGGCGATCGCCAGGACGGATATCGCAGTGGAGAAGATGCTCCTTCTTGTGCTGTAGTAATGTACCCAAAGATCCATGAACAATCGGCTTGGGGGCACCGGTGGTACCAGATGAGTATAAGATGTAGACCGGATGCTCTGGCTTCAAGCTTGCGAATTCCAGTGGCGCCTGTGAGTTCTGAACATTCGCAAGGAAATCTCCATAGACCATTGACTTCCCGTTGGCAGGCTTCAGGTCATTAAGGTTGACCTCCAATTCCGGGGCAGTCACAAGAAGCACCAATAGCTCCAGATCTGGCAACTCGGAGACAATCTCCCACACCTTGGCGTGCGAGCCATGCACCTTACCATTATAGAGAGAGCCATTGTCAGCAAAGAGGATTTTGGGCTGAATCTGCTTCAAGCGCTCTAGAACTGCATGCACACCGGTATCTGGAGACACCCCAGTCCAATAGGCACCAATCGAGGCTGCGGCCAACATAGCCACCACCGTGTAAACATGGTTGCCTACAAAGCCGGCAACACGATCACCAGACACTATGCCTGCTTCTTTCAGGGCGTTGGCGCATAGCCGAACTCGCTCTCGCAGCTCTTTCCATGTGATTAACTCGCGGGCTGCTTCGGTAGCGCTAATTACTGCCACGGAATTCTCATCCGGCGCACATGCTGGGTAAAGGAGATTCTCGGCAAAATTCAGAGTGCTACCTTCAAAGAATGAAGGTCTGGGGAATAGCACATCTTTTGTGTCCAGCACCTATAGAGAGGGTCAGCATTGTGACACAGTAGGGAGACCTAGTCATTGCGGGGGTTAACAGGTATTACTGACTTGCTGATATGGCTCGTGGGCCTTGATTTTCGTGTAATGCCAAATCTCTTCCCAGAATTGACCTGGTTCAGAGACACTCCAGTTCCAGAGGGTCTGGTAATCATCCAGGGAGAAGCCGTGCTTCTTGTTGACCTTGGTCATAAAATCAAAGATCTGGGTTGACTCCGGAGCAGAGGGCCGCCAAAGCTCTTTCGACTCCGGGTCAAGGCTCTGAATATGAGGCATGATTGAATTGATTGCAGTCGAAATGCCCACAATGTGAAATCAAGCGGGGGACTGAGAATCCTAGTAGACTGAACAGCGAAGTCGTTCAATCAATCTCGAATGCCGTGTAACGATTTATTACCTGTTGAGCAAAGTGGCAACTGGATTCGATGTGATGTATGGATTGAAGCTTGTGATAGGCTTGACAGGGGTTTTCCAAGCTTGACATGCAAAGAGTAAATCCCATGCAGATGCAGATGCCCCAACAGGGGAGGCGGATATAGTCGGGTATTGAGTTACCGATCTCCGCGGCACTTTATCCGCAGT